TGATAAGTTGTATTTAAGCCGACTATTGTTGCGAAATTGCATCTACGAATTAAATTCAACCGTGTCAAGGTTCGGACATTTGGTAACACACCAGAACATTCCTTTTCAGAGCAGATTTTTCTTGTAGTGACGGACTTTTTTTCCATACAGACTACAATATTTTTTCTTCATTGGTATGCAACTGCATATTGTGCAACCTTAGGAAGATAAGAATGTGGCTTTGAACGTTAAGGCGCCGGACATCAATAGATGCCATGGGAACCAGGGTTCAAATCCCAGCCCGGAAATTAAGTTTCCAACCCCACATGGAACTATACTATAGCGAATAATTTTGGTGTCGTTTGAATCCAAATCACCTTCTGAGTCGATTTATGCATATCCGTCCGTCTGTTGATGTTAAATTGTAAACAACGTACAGGTCGCATTTATGATCCGAATGAGATTAAATTTGGCAGAGCTCATATATTTGGATTTAAATATAGCTCCCGTATACATTTTCGTCCGATGTAAATGGTGCACCAAAATCCCTATATATCTTTCGAATTGCACGAAATTTGGCACAACGTACGCAATTAAGTCTGGATTGATGTGTTCTAAGTTTTGTGAAAATCGTTTGAGAATTAGATATAGCTCCCATATATATTTTTGCCCGATTTTATGTAAATGGTGTTCAAAAGTCCCTATATATTTTTCGATTCACACGAAACTTAGTACAGTGTACTAAATTGAGCCTTTAATGATATGTTCTAAGATTCGTGAAAATCGGTTCAATTTAAGATATAGCTCTCATATATATATTTGTCCGATTTAAGGTAAATGGTGCAGCAAAGTCCCTATATACCTTTCGATTTGCATGAAATTTGGCACACTGTACTGAATTGAGTCTACAATAATGTGGGATAAGATTTGTGAAAATCGGGTTAGATTTAAATATAGCTCCTATATATATATATATTCGTCCGATTTAATGTAGATGGTGCAGGAAAGTCCCGAAATATCTTTCGAATTGCAAGAAATTCGGCACAGAGTACTGAACTAAGTATAAAATGATGTGTTCCAAGTTTTGTGAAAATCGGTTCAGATTTCGTTATAGCTCCCATATATATTTTTGCCCGATTTAATGTAAATGGTGTACCAAAGTCCATATATATCTTTTGATTTATATGAAACATAGCACAGTGTACTAAATTGAGCCTGCAATGATGTGTGTTGAGTTTCGGGTAAATCGATTCAGTTTTAGATATAGCTCCCATATATATTTTCGTCCGATTTAAGGTAAATGGTGTAGCAAAGTCCCTATATATCATTCAATTTGCATGAAATTTCGCACGCCAAACTGAATTGAGTCTAGAATAATGTGTGACATGATTTGTGGGAATCGGTTCAGATTTAATTATAGCTCCCATATATATATATATATATATTTGCCCGATTTAATGTTAATAGTGTACCGAAGTCCCTATATATATTTTGATTTGCGCGAAACTTAACACAGTGTACTAAATTGAGACTTTAATGATGTGTTCTAAGTTTCGTGAAAATCGGTTCAGTTTTAGATATAGCTCTCATATATATTTTCGCCCGACTTAAGGCAAATGGTGCAGCAAAGTTCCTATATGTATTTCGATTGCCACGAAATTTGGCACCGCGTTCTTAATAAAGCCTATTATGATATGTTCGTCCGATTTATTGTAATTGGTGTACCATATTCCTTTCGTTTTGCATGAAATTTGGCACACCGAACGGAATTGAATCTAGAATAATATGGAAATCGGTTCAGATTTTGATATAGCTCATATATATTCGTCCGATTGTATAAAATTTTGTCATTTCTCACACAAAAGTCAAGGTCCATTTGACCCGCTAAATATTGACCGATCTTTATCAAAACAGGCATGCTTATTCTTTGGCCTGATCCCCTTCTCAATGCAAAAATTCGCGATGTTTGGGCCATAATTGCAAGCTCTGGAGCGTCCAGAAAAACCGACAAAAATTAAGTATTTGGTCTATTTCATCCCCTAAATATTAACCGATCTTTGCCAAAAACGATAGGGGTCGTCATTGGCCAGAACCCATCCTACATGCAAAATTTCGTGAAGATTGGACCATAACTGTGGCCTGTATCGTGTCTACAATTTATAATGGCCAGACGAACGGACGGTATACTTAAAGGTGGGTCTAGGACCAATATTTCGCGGCGTTATAAGCTCTTGGGGCTGCACAAAGCTATAATACCCTGACAACATAGTTGTGTAGGGTATAAAAAGATGTAAAAATTTATAGTAACTCATCAATTGAGAACGGCGACACCGATTTGACTCAAAATTTCCTTCAATTGTCTGTAATTGAAATCGGAATGCTTTTATGAATGAACATTCTTAAAAAATCCGCGAAAATCTTGCAAAACATATTTTGAAGGAACGGCTGGACCGATTTGCCTACAAGTATGTAGGACATATACCATAAAGTGATACTATACCGACAATTTAGAGAAAAGTTCCTTATCCTACATGAAATACCGAATTAAAGGCAATGTGTACTACTTTCGAAGTACATAAAATCGTAGTATGCCAAAATATGGACCAAATTATTATATTCGGGAAGTATATATGTATATAAATTTGAATCCCACATGGAGACAATTGCGCATTAGGTGCTCTAGATGTCTGACTTATATGTGCCTTTATGGTTCCTCAAATATATTTTTCATGATGTAAAAAATGTTTCCATTGAGATTGTTTTTAATTGCAGTGAGAAGAGTTTTACCAAAGAAAATGTTGAGAAAAACATAAAAAGTCGGAGATTGGAGTAATTGAACACAACACACCTTTTATACAATAATAATAATTATCTATTGAGATAAGAGAAGTTAGATCAAAACTTCACCTTCTCCTGACAAATGTTTGGTGGAATAAGTTCGACCAATTGATAAACTGAAATACCACACATACTGACATAATTTAATATTTAAGGGTCGTACCTAAATTCATGCGTATGCGTACGAATTTATTCACCTCAAAAGTTAAATACATGTATTTCAATGAATGTTACCCAAATACGCATTGCGTATAAAAATATAAAGTTGAAAATTTTCAACATTGTCAATGCGTATTTTGGAACATTTGTTTTTTGAAAATAGAATTCCAGTCCTAGAAAAATATGCTTTTCTATAAATGTAAAAAATTTTCGATCAATTAAAAAAAATGTTTTCATCCATTTTCGCCGTTTTCAATTGGAACATATGCAAATAAAGTCCTTGCGTATTTGGGTAATACGGACGTCTTATAAACCCTATAAAGGTGAGAAGGTGAGTATTTTTGTACGGAGCGCATTAAATTAGGTACGACCCTAACAATAGCAATATTACTTAATACACTGTAGTATCAGTAAGTGAAGGTTTACCGTCGTGAGGAAAATACTATGAATATTTATTTATTACGGAAATTGGACGTAAATTTTTTTGTAAATAGTTTCTGATATATTTTTGATTAATTCGTTAATTTTTGCAAACTCTATATTGATGCAACTCTGATAAGGCAAAACAACGTTTGCGGGTCTGCTAGTATACTATAAATATTTAGGGTATATGTTCTATATGTATATGCCAGAGAATACCAATTTTCTAACACAAAAATGTTGGTCCATTGTCCCGCTAAATATCGACCATATAAATTTTTCTCAGTAAATAGCATATGGTTCTTTCTAAAAAAAATTATTTCGCTTTTCATAGTCGCTCAATTTTCATCATTTGGAAGATTTGAAAGTCCACCACCTCATGTTTGATCGATGGACTCGAAATGGGCTTCCAACTTGAGAATACAATGACATGGAATGCGAATTATAAAAAACGATCGAACATTGGCCAACAGATTGCTGTCAAACATCAAACTACAGATGTACAACAGCACGTTGACTACATGGCAAACAACAATTTTTATAATAAATTAATTTGCTATAAACAAAAAGAGAAAATACTAAGAGAGTGGTGATTGACCCAACTAACAAACTGACACATTTAGAAACATATATGTTAGTACATATGTATCTACACGTGATCGTTCAGCTATTAAGAACAACCGAAAACCGCAACAAAAATTCACGATTTTTTTTTTTTGTGGGAACTTTTAAAACCTGTTTCTAATGGAGCTTTTAAAAATCGCTCTCTCGCTTGCGGTTTCTTAACCACAAGTTGAGAACTATTAGTTATTTATTTATATTTATTTAATAAAAAAAACAACAACAATAACATATGAACACACTTACGATGAGAAGACTATACATATGTCTCATATTCATGCCCATAATTTATACAGTCCAACGACGGGAGGGAACTCAACCTGACTGGCACATTTTCCGCTTCGTCATTTGGCATCATTAAAAGCAACAACAACACCAGCCACCACCAACGTCCATAGATAAGGGCCAAGGCGCGCGTCAAGAATCAACAATAAAATAATTTCCATATAATCGATAGAGCGAGCAGCCAGCTCGGTAATAAACGAACGTAAAACGAAATTATTGCACACCGGCGAGAAGTTCTTATCACAAACCCGAAAAAAAATCGGCGAGGGGCTGGGGTCTTTATCACATTAAGATAACTGCTCAGTTTTTTTTATAATCCGAGGCGGCTTGGCAGTTTTTTGGTAGAATCACAATTCAGTTAGCTTAGGGAAGTGGTTCGGTTGAGATTGTGAAAAAACTAATAGTGAGAAGATCGGAAGACAAGCAAAAAACATATGTGGCAGTGAGAAAGTGTTAAATTGTGAAAAAATATATGTACATTTTTTTTAATACAACCGACTCCAACGTTAAGTTGTGAGAGTGGGAGGAGTAAAGGAATAAAAAAAGCTGATATAATTAAGAATTAAATGTGCCGGAGAAAGTTAATTGTATAAGAATACAAATACATATACACACATATATTAAAATTAAATTATATTAAAAATTGTATAACGTGGAGAATTAAAATAACGAAGAAAAACAAAAAATAATTTCTAAACATGCAGTCCTTTAAAGCAGATGAACTGCCGCAAAATCCGCGGGAAACCGCTAATCCTTTATCGACAATGATGTTCTGGTGAGTGTCCTTTTTTAAAAATTACACATTTGTTCGGGCTTCTGTAGACTCTCGATAAATATTATACGGTTAAAAAGTGGTAATAAACTTGATTAATCGGAATTTCAATACAAATCTTCCATAATTAAAAAAGTTGTCTTGTCACAGTGAATTAGCGGAATACGATTGTATATCCAAAAATAAAAGTAATATGTGATAATCGATTAAACCAAAACGGAAATGGTACTTCACAAATATGGAAGAAAAAACAATTTTGAACTTTAGTCACATTGAAAGCAAATAATATCAAAGTGCCAAAACAAATATTTGAGTGTATAATCACATCACATGTTGGTGACAAAATTCACAGAACTAGAATAGATATACACACGCACATAGACGATGTTTATTTGTTTTGAACCTATTTTAAAACATTAATTTATATTGAATCATTTCTGGATAGAAGTTGTTTTACTCTCCAAGACCCCTAATTATAGCCATTGCGATGAGAAAATTCGATTAAAAACATAATAACATCAAAAAATTAATTAATTACAGCCATGGCCTATATCAAATCTGGGACATATATGGGACAAAATTCCGGAATTATTATTAAAAATTCCAAATTAAGGCCACTACATGGAAAAATGTGGCTAAAAATTAATTCTAAATACTGACAATAGACATTTTGAGAACTCCTTACATCAAATCAGTACCATCGATTAGAAAATGTTGTTAATGCTTTGAAAATACTACAACCTAAACCGATATTTTGAGTATGAAAATGTGATACCCCATAAGAATCTAAAAAAATAAAATTAGACCCAATTCTGATGAATAGTGAGGGGAATCAACAGTGTTATATAGGAGATACCTGGAGAAAATATTATATGGGAGCTGTGCGGAAACTTAGGCCAATATTGTTAAATTTTGGTATGAAAATGAGAATCCAATCAGTATTAAAAATACAAAATTTAAACAATTTTTTTTTGAAACACGCACAAAAACTTCCCCAAAATATCTCAATTGGGGATGTAGTTTTTTATGAGTGCTACCCAAAATCGGCAAATTGATGGCCCATTTTCGAATTTTGAACATGGGTCGATATTGATAATTTTTGATAGGAATATTTTTTGCTTAACTGAAATGACTCATATCAAATTAGAACCAATTCTGTAGATAAACATGTACAAAAGCTTGAAAATACCGAATATATTGTGGGGGAGCTAAACCAATATTTATAATTTTTAGCTGGGACATTTTGAAATACCAAATTACAGCTGATTGGGTTTAGAAACGTGCCCAACATACCGAAAATTCGACTATACCATTAAGTGTTATGGGAACTATACCAACATGTTGATGGATATATTCAATACCAAACATTTTCAATACCAGGAGTAGTAACATACCTGTATTATATAGGTCGTTAACTACAATTATCCAGGGACAAATGTACCGTTTGTTGTTTGAAAACATGTTTTCGAAATAGCCATAAAATGGAATGAGGCAATTATGGACAATAAAATTGTTGCGAGTAAGTATCAAGATATGTTGACGTCACAGAAAAAATAGAAACTATATATATTTTATGACTATATATATTTCATCAAAAAAATATGTTAGCATGCTGTGTAAACATTTATTTGTAACACTAAAAATAGTCCCAATAGTCGATATTTTCGATTTGAAGTAATTTACATATCGCTCGAAAGATGAATCATACGCCTGAAAATGTTCACTCAAAAGTTAAGGTCTTCCCAAATCTGACGATGTACCCTGCATAAACTGATAATGCTATATGGTCATGTACTGTGAGATAGAGGCTTTCGTGGTCAATGTCTTCAAAAAGATCATCACAAGTGCCGAATGATAGATGTCTGAGAATTCGATGTATTCAAAACCTATCCAAGCCTAACGAAATTGATCGACAGAACCACTTCGAAGCAAATGACCGTCTAATTTTTCAGCAAAAAGTGTGATGTGACTAAATTCTTAGTGGTATTTTACAATTTGTTTGTTTCTACTCTTCGGATGCATTGTTAACCATCGCCTGAAGATGCTGTTGAAGCGTACAAACCCCATGTTTTGAAGATGTCTCCATAGGAGTGGGAAATGTACTGGTACAATTGGTAATAAATATTCACATTTCCTGCATTATGTGAAATATATTTACAGTAGTTTTCGTATATATGTTGTCAACTCCGTTAGCCTATCACACATACAACACATTTCTACGCTCAAAAACAAAACAAATTATCGAAGTTGCCATAAAATCGAATGGTGGTAATTAAAATAATATAATTATTCGATAATTAGTTGGACGTCATACAAAACAAATAAAATTTTGCGTTGACCATATATATTCCGTTTAGACATAATTATGTAGCTTTCCATCATGGTCAGCATTCAAATCTGCGATAAATCCCCTATCATTTAATCCCTCCACCATAGGGTGTGGAGATCGCAATATTTAAGATAGAACTCTGTAGCCCCCATATAACGGTACCAAAAAATACCGAATAATGGAGGGTGGTTTTTATACCTTCTCCAAAATCTGGAGTTTATATTAAATTAAAATCTGGAGTGTATACATTGTCATTCCGTTTGCAACATCTTGCCAGATTCGTCGGACACCCCATAAAGATCAGAATTAAATCCTATGTCAATTTCACCACGTTTTCTGACTTTTGAAATCAATGCTTAATTTACAGTTGCAAAATTTTGCGCTGACATTATTTTTACTCATAGTATGCTTTGCATAATAACAAATAAATCGGTTTACGTCTTGACATAGCCCAATTGAGGATTTCCGCCGCATTTTCTAACCGAACAGGTTAGCTGTATAGAAAATGATCGCTATATGTTTATTTATTGACTCTCATATAAATGGCTAGCCCAATTTTCTGTACTTTACCTTAGTGACTCTAATTTCGTATATGAAAGAGAATATATGCAACCTACTAGCAGACAACTTACAATAGCAATCCCGACGTTTTAAAGTACGAAATTTTACACTGTTGTGATGAAGAACGACAAATATTAAGTAAGTTAAATGGACCAAGACTTTGGTGAAAAAATTACAATTTTTGTATTCAATGGCCTATATATTTACTCCTAAAGAACATAGCCTGAGAAGTTGATACTATATCCAAGAGGAGAGGTTGACCTTCAAATTGATACCAATTATTATTGTCCGCGTATTTCGATTTGGGCCCAGTCCGACTATACTGCTCCGCACACTGATTTTAAATTTACCAAGAAATAAAAAATATACCTGCATTGTATCACATATTATTATATAGATATTGCATCAAGTATATTATATAAGTTTCCAGTAACTTTATTTTTCTTCAATCTTCTATTTCTCAACTCATTACTTTAAAAATACTCCAAATTATCTGCGATGTTAAATAATGGTAATTTTCCTAAGCATATTCTCCTACTCATATTCAATAAAAATTTCGAATTATCTAAGAAATTTAATGATCCCAATTTTTGGAAAATTTTCATTAAACGATAAGATCTGAAAATTATCCAAAATTTGCTTATAATCATGGCAAATAAGCCAAGTGTGACGGAATCTAAGAAAGTATTATGATCCGAGTTATTTTTTTACATCTTTTTCGATCGCAGATGATTTTTAAAATAATGACGTTACGATTTTGAAGGCCAGATAATTGAAACTTAATTTTCCCCCTTCACTTTCTTTCAGCTTCACAATGCCAACATTTTTCAAGGGACGCAAAAAAGTCCTCGATGAAACGGATCTTTTTCGGGCCCTCAAGGAACACAAATCTGGTAAGTGTGCTAATGTTATTTATATCATTTCTATATGACTATAACTATAAAGATAACCATTCAACAAATATTTTAACACGCTTCTTTCCGCCTCATTGCTGAAAAAAAAACAAAATTACGTGAACGTTATAAATATTCTGATTTTATTTTCTTGTTTTTGTTTTGTTCCTGTGCGGTTTTGCAATATTATCTTTCTAATGATAACAACAACAATTGTCGCTTTTATTTTAATTTTTTTTTTCTCAATCAATTTAACGTAACGAAAATTAGCAAAGTCATTGTAGCGTACTATGAAATTCAACATATGGCTGGCTATATATCGCCGATATCGATTCCAGTGATTATCAGTTTTGTGTATGGAAGGCCAAGTTGTCGTTATCTTAATTACTCACATAATATTCATGACGGTGCTAACAAGCTTCTTTTGAGTAGTCACTACGTTGAGTGTTGTTTAATAATAATTGGGGAACTTTTTTTGCCGTTAAAATTTTTTTGAAGCTAACATTTTTTATAAATACAAAATTATAACATTAATAAATATTTATTTTTTCAATTGGCACTCGACTAGGAAAAAAATACTTCATTGTTGTACATTACGTAGTAGTACCTACATCAATATAAAATGCATTCTCAATGGGCACTTATTACACGATGAAGAGACTGACTGAAGAGAATGATTGGCCATTAACTTATAAGGAGTGGAAAATTTTCATAAGGAGGTTAGGTGTAGATTGGAAGTAGATCTACTAAGTATATATCAGTTTGAAATGTTTAGTTTGATTAGAAAATTACTTCCTAGGTTATTTTTAAATTAAAAAGCAATTTATTATAATATGACTTGTCATAAATGCTTCGATTATTAGACTATAAAATTATGACATTAATTAATCTATATTAGTTATTTTCTCAATTGACACTCAAGAAAAATAGCGTATATAAATAAAGTGCTTAACATTTCAATTGACTCTCAAAAGACAACTACCTGTTGAATAGATAATGACAACGTTTTAATATATATGAGTACAATTATAAGACTAACTGGGCTAACTGAACTTGGGCCGATCATATGTTACCCTACCTTACTACCATTGAACTTTTATTTTCAGCGGATTTATATACCGAGCCTGGAAACTGTAATTCGATACACACAACAGTCTTGATTCATTTGACCCGCTAAATCAGTCATACTTTTTAGTTGACTAGATGTTTGGCTTATAATAGTGGCCTAGAAAACCATACAAAATTAAAGTGTTGGTCCATTTCGTCCTCTAGGTCTCATTTGATTGTCACCTGAAATTATAAGCGTCGTCCTTGCTCATAGCCTGTCCTACAGGATACAGACTTTGCAGTTTTCACACACAAGTCTGGCCCTCTAAATGTTGGCCGCATATCATAAAAAGAATCACGATTATTTCTTGCTCAGATCGCTTTCGCCGCGTAAAAGTTTGTGATGTTCAAGATATAATTAAGACCTCTAGATCGACCAGAAAAAAATGCATAAATAATGTGTTTGGTCCCCTTCATAGCCTAAATATTGACCGATCAATAGGTAACAGGAACGGATATTGATGCTAAATTTTCCTTAGGATTGGTGTATAACTGTGACAGACGGACGGATTGATACACACATCTAGATCAAGTCAACTAGTCGAGATATCTGTATAATATCTGTGGGGATAGGACCAAATTTCGGTCTTTTCAAAAAAATTGAAATAAATTCCTCCTTGGCCCTTGAAAATTTTCCTTTTCAAAATTTTCCTTTCCCTGTATTGGTCTTTAAAAACGCTTCTTTGTTTCAAAAAATCCTTGAAATTTTCATTTTCAAAAAATCCACTAAAAGGTCCAAGTAAATTTCCTTTTTCAAAACATGCATGCCAAAGTTCATAAGCATCTTCTTTTTCAAAAACTCGAGGTTTTTCAAAAAATATTTTTCTTTTCAATCCAGGTCTTTAATAGCTCTTACAAATTTTATTTTTAAATCAGTAAGAAAAGAAGTCGGACGAGGCCGACTATATGATACCCTTTACTACTTTGACTATATTCAAGAGATGCATCCTAACAGACTTCGCACTTTCGAAGGACCATTGCCATGAAATTCGACTAAGTTCAATATGTGATCTGTGTCTATATGAGAACCGACTTAACCCAACGATCAATAACCGGGTATATTTCTATCACCATGGTATGGAAAGTATATAAAGTTTGTTTTTCTGTTTGTAACTCATCGAAATAATCATTTCCGACCCTATAAAGTATACAAATTCTTGATCAGCGTATAATTCTATGACGTTTTACCAAGGACCAAATTGATATAGATCGCCAAAATTTAGCATAAAGTTGTCTCCTGTGCAGGTCCAAAGATGAGCTTCTTGGTCTTGATCAGCGTATTATTCTATGACGATTGATATAGATCGCAAAATTTAGCATAAAGTTGTCTCCTGTCTGCAGGTCCGAAGATGAGCTTCTTGGTCTTGATCAGCGTATTATTCTATGACGATTTACCAAGGTCCTAATTGATACAGATCGCCAAAATTTAGCATAATGTTGTCTCCTGTTTGCAGGTCCGAAGATGAGCTTTATCGGTCTACGTACCAAATGCCTCCACTAAAAATCATTAATATCGATCCAATCGAATTCGCTGAAATTTGGTACAATGGGTTTTTATTGGGTACATCAACCGCACACATGTCCTCGGTAACCTATGGCAAATTCCATTTCATTAGGATATGAATCGGATGCACAAAATTTCGTGACAATCCGATTAAATTTTACTCTTTGGTGCACCATTTGCTTAAATTCGGACGAATATATATATATATATATATATATGGGAGCTATATCTAAATCTGAACCGATTTAAATTTCAAAACTTGGTACACGTTAAGCTATCCTAACTTCAGTACGTTGTGCAAAAGTGCGCGCCAATTGGCCTCAATTTGACACTTTGGTGCGCCATTTGCTAAAAATCAGACGAACACATATATGGGAGTTATATCTAAATCTGAACCGATTTCAGTGAAACTTGGCAGAGGTTAGTCTCTCCTAATTTCGATACGTTGTGCAAAACTTCATACAAATCGGCCTAAAATTGACTCTTTGATGCAAATTTTGCTAAAAATCGGACGAAAATTTATATGGGAGCTATATTTATATCTAAACCGATTTCTCCCAATTTCAATAGGGTTCGTCCCTGGGCCAAATAAATGATTTGTGCCAAATTTCATCTCATTGAACAAATATTCTTTAAAAAATACACCCCTTGAAAAATATTCCTTAAAAATTTACGCCTTGTGGTGACCCTTAATAAAATATTCCTTAAAACTTTACGCCTTGTATTGACCTCAAAAAATATTATTTAAAAAATCCTCGCCTTCTATTGAAACTAGAAAAATATTCTTCAAAGAATCCATGCCTTTTCTTTAGGTTTGAAAAAATATAAAAAAAAAAATAATTTTTTAACCTCCTTGCAGTATAGATCCATTTTTGAACTAAAAACAAAAAGATATACCAAATATCATACAACAACGAATAAAGTCTGACGGAGTAGATGTTTGCAACGCCGATTACGATGCATAAACTTTTTATAAACACATAATATTTCGAAATATTTATTTACCAACTTTTTCGCTTATTGCACCTTACAGATCTCATGGGAAACAAACTGAGTCAGGCATGGGAGGAACAAATTGAGAAAAGCAAACGTACAGGCAAAGATCCCAGTCTGATTAAGGCTACAGTAAAGGTTTTCGGTTTACATTATATGCTCTTGGGTATATTGATGTTTTTGTTCGAAATATTCCTAAGGTAAGTTTCAAGAAACATTCGGAAACATCCCAAGTATAACCGAAATTAAAAAAATTCTATTTCCCACAGATGTTCACAACCGTTGTTCTTGGGTGCCCTTGTCTCATACTATGCTGATCCCGAAACCGATAAAACAGATCAATCCAAGGCATTCTTGTATGCCTTGGGTGTGATTTTAACCAGTGCTGGTAGTGTACTCTTTATGCACCCGAATATGTTGGGCATTGTCCATATGGGTATGAAAATTCGTGTGGCCATTTGTAGTATGATTTATCGTAAGGCGTTGCGTTTGAGCAAGAGTGCCATGGTCAATACAACATCCGGGCAAATGGTGAATTTAATCTCAAATGATGTGGGTCGTTTGGATACATCGGTAATGCATATGCATTATGTATGGATTGGTCCATTGGAAATATTTGTGGTTACCTATTTCATGTACAAAGAGGTAAAATACTGAAAATATTTAAAAATTGAATATCTCTAATTTTTGTATTTATGTGTTAACAGATTGGTGCCTGTTCATTGATTGGCCTCGCCGTCATGTTGTTATTCGTTCCCATTCAAGGATTTTTGGGCAAAAAGACCTCCATTTTACGTCTACGCACAGCCTTGTGTACCGATGAACGTGTACGCCTCATGAACGAAATCATTTCCGGCATTCAGGTCATCAAAATGTATGCCTGGGAAATTCCCTTCGGAAAAATGGTCGATTTTGCACGCCGCAAAGAAATGAAAGCTATCCGCTATGTGAATTATATTCGTGGTATTATCGGCTCCTTTATTATGTTCATATCGAGAATTTCGATCTTCAGTAGTTTGGTGAGTTATGTGCTATTGGGAAATTTCCTCACCGCCGAGAAGGCCTTCGTGGTTACAGCCTATTATGGTATCTTACGTATGACAATGACTGCCTATTTCCCCATGGCTGTGGCTCAAGTTGCCGAAACTCTGGTGTCATTCGGTAGAATACAGAAATTTATGTTACTGGATGAAGTGGAACATGCGGAAAAACCTGCAACTAATGGCAAGGTTATACCGGCTATTATTAGTGAAAATGGAAAGACCATTGATGTGAATACTGCGCCCAGCAAAGAACCTGGTATTGTTCTTCAAAACGTGCGGGCCAAATGGAACCCAGAATCGTCGGAAAATAATTTGGAAAATGTATCGCTGGAGTTTAAGAGGAAGCAATTGATTGCTGTTATTGGTCCCGTCGGTTCGGGTAAATCAACGTGAGTACTGTGAAATTAGATTTTTAGGGTTTTCTATTCGATTTTTCTTATTAGATTTTTCTTAATTAATAAAAAATCAATTGTTCTTATTTCAGATTAATTCAAACCATATTGGGAGAGTTGCAACCTACCTCTGGTTCCGTCACAGTCAACGGCACAGTGGCATATGCCTCACAAGAACCATGGCTTTTCACCGGTACCGTACGTCAAAATATTCTCTTCGGCCAACCTATGGACAAGAAACGTTACAATTTAACCGTTAAGAAATGTGCCCTCGAAAGAGACTTCGAATTGCTGCCCTATGGCGATAAGACGATTGTTGGAGAACGTGGTGCCTCATTGTCTGGTGGACAGAAGGCTCGTATTAATTTGGCTCGTGCCGTTTATCGTCAAGCTGACATTTATCTGCTGGATGATCCTCTCTCAGCTGTAGATACACACGTTGGGCGCCACCTGTTCGATCAATGTATGCGTCAATATTTGAGAGATCGTATTGTAATTCTCGTTACACATCAACTGCAATTTTTGGAACAAGCCGATGTGATTGTGATTTTGGATAAGGGTCAAGTGAAGGCTGTGGGCACCTATGAATCTATGCGTCAAAGCGGTTTCGACTATGCCAAACTGCTGTTGCACAAAGGTGATGAGGACGATGGAGAGGATGGTGCCGATTCGGATAATAATAAAATCGATGACGATCAGGATGCCCAGAAAATGAAACGTCAAAATAGCAAGGCTAGGCAAAGGCAAATTAGTGTTACCTCTGTTGCCTCAACGGTGGAATCGTTGCAAGATGCGGCGGCGCCCAAGCAGGTTGAGGAAACCAGAGAACAAGGCAAAGTTGGTTGGAATTTGTACAAGAAATATTTTGGCAGCAGTGGAAGTGTGTTAATTGTGGGCTTATGGATGTTCTTTTGTATTGGTGCTCAGGCTTTGGGTTCGGCTGGTGATTATTTCTTGTCGTATTGGTAAGTGGAAGAAAATGTAATTTTTCTACAAAAATTCTAATTTTATATGGTTTTTTTTTTCAGGGTAAACAAAAACGAAAACAAATTACACGAATTGGATGCCCGTGTCGAAGTGCAAACCGATCCTGTTGATATTTACATTTTCAGTGCGATAAATATTGCGATTATTATCTTTGCCATGTCCCGTAGTGTTATATTTTTCAATTTGGCTTCGAAATCTTCCACCCGGCTGCACAATAATATGTTTGTCAGTGTCACCCGTGCCAGCATGTATTTCTTCAATACAAATCCATCGGGTCGTATTTTGAATCGTTTCTCCAAGGATATGGGTCAAGTAGATGAAATTTTACCACAAGTCATGATTGATGTTATACAGATTTTCCTATCGCTGTTGGGTATTGTCATTGTGCTGTGTCTGGTCAATCCCTATTATATAATTGTCACCGTGGTAATGATCGTCATATTCTACTATATCCGATCGTTCTATTTGAAAACGTCGCGGGATGTTAAGCGTTTGGAAGCTATAAGTAAGTATTCATATACCATATCAAATGTGGTGGTCCTTGAAAAAATATCCTTTAAAAATTGTGGTCTTTAAAAAATATTCTTTAAACAATCACCCAAGCCTTGTGTTGGTCCTTGAAAGAATATTCTATAAAAAATCCCCGCCTTTTGTTGGTCCTTGAAAAAATATTCTTAAAAAAATCCACGCCTTGTGTTGGTCCTTGAAAAAATATTCTTAAAAAAATCCACGCCTTGTGTTGGTCCTTGAAAAAATATTCTTTAAAAAATCCACACCTTGTGTTGGTCCTTGAAAAAATATTCTTTAAAAAATCCACGCCTTGTGTTGGTCCTTGAAAAAATATTCTTTAAAAAATCCACACCTTGTGTTGGTCCTTGAAAAAATATTCTTAAAAAAATCCACACCTTGTGTTGGTCCTTGAAAAAATATTCTTAAAAAAATCCACGCCTTGTGTCGGTCCCTGAAAAAATATTCTTAAAAAAATCCACGCCTTGTGTTGGTCCTTGAAAAAATATTCTTTAAAAAATCCACGCCTTGTGTTGGTCCTTGAAAAAATATTCTTTAAAAAATCCACGCCTTGTGTTGGTCCTTGAAAAAATATTCTTAAAAAAATCCACGCCTTGTGTTGGTCCTTGAAAAAATATTCTTAAAAAAATCCACGCCTTGTGTTGGTCCTTGAAAAAATATTCTTAAAAATCCTTACAAAAAAACATCCTTTAAAAATGTTGGTACTTGAGAAAATATTCTTTAAACAATCCACCCCTTGTGGTGGCCCTTGAAAACAATTTTCTTTAAAAAATTTAAGCCTTAAGGTGGTCCTTGAACAATTATGGTGGTTCTTGAAAAATAATTTTTTTTTAAATCCACGACTTATGGTGGTTCTTGAAAAATAATTTTTTTAAA